ACGGCGGATCATAAGGGAGAGTCATGATATAATGTGGGCTGGTCATCCAGGCCAGCGTCGCACTAGGGCCTTGGTTGAGTCAGTCTACTATTGGCCACGCATGCGAGATGATATAGAATGTTATGTGCAGACTTGTCTTGTATGTCAGCAGGACAAGGTTGAGTAACAACAGCCCGGAGGACTTTTGGAGCCACTACCAGTTGCAGAGCGTCCATGGGAGAGCGTGATTATGGACTTTATCACTTGCCTACCAAAGTCCGACGGTTATGGTACTATTAAGGTGGTCGTGGATAGATTTTCCAAATATGCCACCTTCATGCCCGCCTCACCAGGTTGCACAGCCAAGGAAGCTGCCAAGCTATTCTTTAAGAACGTGTTGAAGTATTAGGGCTTACCAAGGCATATAATCAGTGATCGAGACCCCCACTTTACTGGAAACTTTTAGAGAGAGTTGTTTGACATACTTGGCACGGAGCTGCACTTTTCTACTAGTTTCCACCCATAGATGGATGGGCAAACGGAACGAGTCAATGCCTTACTAGAATGCTACTTGATGCATTATGTAAGCGCGCATCAGAAAGATTGGGCAAGGCTCCTAGACATCGCCCAATTCTCTTATAACTTGCAGCGGAGTGAGTCCACGGGGCGGACACCATTTGAGCTAGCCACAGGCCAACAACCACAAACTCCACATTCCTTACCAGCCGCGTTCGAGGGAAAGAGTTTGGGGGCTTATCATATGGCAAAAGGATGGGAGGAGCAATTTGACACTGCTATGTTCTACTTGGATAAGGCAGCTAAGAAGATGAAGAAGTTTGCAGACCGTAAACGGCGTCCCACGGACTATAGAGTTGGGGACATGGTCATGGTGAAATTTAACCCAAGACAGTTCAAGGCACTACGGGGCATGCATCAGAATCTGATTTGCAAGTATGAGGGGCCCTTTAAGATCGTCGCCAACGTAGGCAAGATCTCATACAAGCTTGACATGCCATCGTATCTTAAGATCTACCCTGTCTTCCATGCCAGCATGCTTAAGCCATATCATGATGATAAGGATGATCCGAGTAGGGGCCAATCAAGCCGAGCACCAATGACTATCACCGCCTCGCATGATCGGGAGATTGAGGCTATTATGGATTACCAGGCCAAGCGAAAACAAGGGCAAAAAGCCACCGCTATGTTCCTCGTCCATTGGAAAGGGCAATCACCAGAGGAGGCCACGTGGGAACGATATGAAGACTTGTGGCAATTCAAAGATAAGATCCGAGAGTTTATGCAGCAGCACTGCGTCGCGATCGTCACAATATTAGGTAGGGGAGAGTGTGATGACCTGCCATATCATCATGCCACATAGGCGCCTTTGGCATATATTAATGCCATGTGGAAGCTTACATAAGAGGAAGGCTAGCATTTGTGAGAAGATTCTAGAGAAGTATGGACATTTCCTTAGGAAGAACCTAGATCCTTATGGATTTGCTTGGAAAGTCCTTGGAATCTTCTAGGCTTATAGAGAATTCTAGAGAGAGCCCTTATCTTGTAAATATTAAGGACTTGTGTAATAACTATTATTTACACACTAGCCCCTAGGAGACTAGTATATAAAGGGGGGCATTCAGTTGTAATTCATCAAGCAAACAATTCAAGTTCTCTCTAATACAAAGCTTCCTTTAACAATTCTCTTGTGTTCTTTCTACCATTCTCCTAGCGATCTTGAGTGTAGTAAGGCTGACTTGGCATAACAAGAACATGAGCAAGCTGTGCAAGATCGTGAGCGAGTTGTCAAGTGTCACACGTGTACTTAGTTAAGAACTAAGGACGTGACACTCCGGTCCATAATAAGTAATTCTTTTGCCTTTTCATTTTGGTCCAAAATAAGCGTCTTTTTACATAATCAAGAAGGAATTAATTTTGTTTTTTCAAATTTTACCCTTATTTACATATAACAATGTGTCGAGGTAATAATTATTTAAGGGTAATTTAGTGAATACATCTTTTTTTTTCTCTAGGAGTTTGTATTTTCTTAAGGAGTGTGCCAAAGGCTAAAAGTCACTTATTATGGACCGGAGGGAGTAGTTAGGACTCGTTTGGCCATAGATTTTGCCAAAATATATTTGGGATTTTTTTGGCAAATGCATGTTTTGCGATATATTTTATCTACATTTTGGCAAATTTTCAAAGGTATTGTTGAGTATTTGTGATAGTTTTTAGAACTTGTTGGTGTAAGTCATGTTTCATATTTTTTTCAAAAAAAAAAGTGAAGTATGTTTTGAAAATTTATGTCCAAACACATTTCATCTTCAATCCAAACTTCACCCAAATCAGATTTTTCAAAATAAATTTGAAAATATATGGCTAAACGCTAGCTTAGTATAAAGAGAGTTAATTATGGATTTAAGTGGTAAAAAGTTAATGGTCATTCTTTTCTTGGGAACTAAGAGTTCTTCTATGAAGTTACGAAGCTAGCGTTTGGCCATAGATTCCCAAATTTATTTTGAAAAATCTGATTTTGGTGAAGCCTGGTTTGAAGAGGAAAATATGTTGGGACAGTTTCCAAAACGTATTTCACTTTTTTTTTTTTAAATCATGAAACATGACTTATACCCAAAAGTTCTAAAAATAATCACAAATATCCAACAATACCTTCATCAATATGATTCATTATAGGCAGAATAGCCTAAATGGCACTTATACTTGTGCCACTTTGTCATCCCGGTCCCCAAACTTAATGAAGTTTCATCTAGACACCTCTATTCGTTCAAAAGCAATATTTTAAACCCTTTTGACCATTGACCAAGCCTATGTGGCATTTGCTTTGCTGAGTTGGATAAAATGCGTGACTACACGCTTTAAGAAGCGAGTAAAGGTTTATGATTCTAATTAAAAATACCAAAAAATAAAAAGAAAAGAAAAAATAAAGGGGGGTTAACACCCAGCATTCAAGCGTCTTCCAATCTCAAGTTTTCTTTTCCTTCTACCCCTTTCCCCTCTCATCTTTTCCTTTTTTTTTTGCCGCCGTGCTCAAAGGTGGTATGGGGGATTGTATCTTTTTCTTCTTGTTGCTTGTTATCATGGTTTTGGTAGCGGCTGTGCTTGAGATTTTAGAAAGACTTAGTTTTGGGAAGGTATTGTTAGAGCTAGTGATGTTTGTGGGGTTCATATGGATTGCTATTCTTGTTGGGGTGTTGGTGGGATGGACATGGAAGCTCAAGTGGGCTAATCTTGGCGCTGATTCTTTTGATTCACCAGATGTTTTTGCCTTTTCTTCTTCCGGAATGCTCCTCCAGAACTTGTAATCTGGGTTTGATTCCTTCAATCCTCTCAAATTGAAACTTCCCACCTGCATTTCTTGAATCAAGGAAACTCAGTCCCTGTTAATGGCTGATTTTCAGAGAGAGAAAGGCATGAATGTGTTTGTGAGAGAAAACTTTAGGATTCAACTTTTTCTTTTCCAAAAATAGTTTTTGTGAATAAAAATAATGACGTGGAATATTTTTATCTGACGTGGATAATACAGTGAGACGATTGAGGAATACACACAGTCAGAAGGGTTTAAAATATTACTTTTGAACGAGTAGAGGTGTCTAGATGAAACTTCATTAAGTTTGGGGACCGGGATGACAAAGTGGCACAAGTATAAGTGTCATTTAGGCTATTCTGCCTTCATTATATTATCACAAAGCATAGTCCTGAACATATATAAATTTGGTACAAAATTATTATTTTTATATGAACTATATAATATACCATCGGATGACCAAGAAGTCGAAGCAGAATTGTTACACAATAATAAATGGTGGGCTCTTTTATAAATACAAAAGTTGGGGTCATTTTTAAAAAAAATATAATAGTAATATTTTGGGCCATCTTAAGCTGGTTTTGGGTTTGAGTTTTGGGAATTTACCAAAATATAGATAAAATTCATGAACAATATGTATTTGCCAAAAAAAAAAACACAAATAAATTTTGGCAAAATCTATGGCCAAACGGGTCGGAAAACTCGAGATGTATTAAAAAGTCATGAACTCAAAGAGTTAAAGTAAAACTGCAAAACTATTAACTCAAGACTTGAAAACCAAGGCTAACTATATGGCTTGACCCTCGGGTGCGGCTCTTTTCCAAACATGTAATAGTTTGTGTATTTTATCTTGTTTTAAATAATTATTTTTTATATTATATGCATGAATTATGTCCTTTAAAAGCTTTTATTCTCTTTCATTTTCAAATGTATAAATAAATTTTTGAGTTTCTGTTGCTATTATCAAAACTATTTGATACAAACAAATTATTCTAATTAAATTTTTGCTATGCTTATTCATATTATTTATTAACTTCAGGTACTTAAACTCTTATTTTATAATTCAAACATAATTTTTAATATAATATTCATGTAATTTAAAAAATTACTCATCAAAATTAAGTGTATGCAGAACACAGTATATTAAGACTAGTTAGAAAATAATTCAAATAGAAAATCCAAAATTCAAACATGCTGCATTAGTATCAAAAAGATATTCTTGTATTTTATTTTTTTGAAAATGCTGCCGCCTTTTGGATTTCTCAAGTTTGTACTATTTATGCTTCCCTCTTCAGTTTCTTCCAATCCCCCATTTGAGAATCACTGTAGAAGTGAGTACTTTACAATTCATCCTCATCAGGTTCATATCTTCCTCTCTCTTTATTTCTCCTATTTTAACTTATTTCTATTTTCTGTTTTTTTAGAATTTTTAAATCAAGACTGCTTATTTTATTTTATGGGTATTATTAAATCAGCTGAAATTCAATTGGGTTTTGCTTAAAACTTAATGGGGGTTAATGCTGTCATTATGTTGATCTTCATTTGTTTCACATAGGGCGCGTTTGGCCATAAATACTTTTTTTTTACTTTTTTTCGAAAATTTTTTACTTTTTTCGGAATCAGTATTTGGCCACTGAAATTTCAAATTTCACTTGAAGTTGAATTTTTGAATTTTTCGAAAATTTGAAAAACTCTTAAAAACTTTTTTTCAACAAATCAGTCAATAAAATTCAAGAACAGCTTCAAATTATATTCATGTACAAACACAAATACCATTTTCACTTTCGAAATTTCACAATTCTTATGTCCAATGCCCACATAACCTTTTGGATTGGTTTGAAATTAGGGCTTGATGTAAAATTTGTTCAAACATTTAATTTTCTAAGTTAAATTGACCAATTATCTGAATAATCCCTAGATAATGTTATGAGTGATTTAATTAGAGCAGAGCCTTTCTGCTCTTCTGTCCAGATAGATTGGATGTGTTCCTCATCTTTGTATTCTTGTTTATTTTCTACAGGTTCTTATTGGCGATTTGTGTTAGATATGCTTGGTTCCTGAGCCGAGGGTCTACCGAAAATAGCCTCTCTGCCTTTTTAAAGGTAGGGGTAAAATTTGCGTACACATTACTGCACTTGTGGGACTACACTGGGTACGACGTTGTTGTTGTTGTGTTAGATATGCTTGGCAACCTTCCCAAGAATGTAATTGATGATATTCTTATGTGTTTGATCAAACACTTTGGAAACCTATAAAGGATTACGGATCCCGTACAATTTACATTACAAAGATTATCCACCACATTTTGACCCTTCATTCAGGACCAGTTACAAACTTTACTCTCTGCATTAATTTATTCGAAACTTGTCCTAATAATATTGACAGCTTGATAGATTTCCTCTCTAGAAATGGCATTCAAGATCTTGTTCTTAAATTTCCTGTCTGGGGTAACCTATAGGAATTGCCTTCTTCAGTTTTCACTTGTTTCCAGTTGAGGCATTTGACTCTTGAGGATTGTTTGATACTTTGTCCACCCTCATTCAAAGGATTTGGTAGGTTAATTAGCCTAGAATTACGTCACGTATCAATTTCTTGCAAGTGTCTTGAAAGTTTAATCTCTGGATGCCTGTTGCTCGAGCAATTTCTGCTGGAAAAATCAGATACTTTTAGCAGTGTCGTTGAAATTAATGCTCCCAATCTGAAATCTTTGGACATCATTGGCAGTGTAGGATCTATCTGTTTAAAAAATATCCCTCGTCTGGCAAAAAATTTCACTTATGGTTACAGGGTCATATAATTTGGTTGCGTCTGTAAAATGTGATTTTGCTCTTCACTCTGTCAAACATCTTCACCTATCTGCTATCTATTTCAATCCATTGGAGTTGGTGAAGTCTGCACTTTGCTTGATACGAAGTTTCCCCTATTTACAATATATGGAAATTCAGGTTCTTAGCTATTACTCTCCTCTTTCTTACGCAGTAGCTGTCTTGTTTTCTTACTCTTTTTATGGTCCAATAAATAAATTCAGAGAGTTGAGTTTTTGTTAATGTTTCTTAGGCGATGGATTTCAACACTTACAAACTTGGTCCAGAGTCTCTTGATGTGGAACGTTTCTCAAATGTGACATTTAATCACCTCAGGGAAATTAAGATAGAAGGTTTTATAGACACTGAGCATGAGATGGAGTTTATGAAGCTTTTGTTAGCCAAGTCTCCGGTATTGGTGAGAATGTTCGTCAAGTTCTGCAGGCCTGTTGAAGAATCTGCAAGAGCAAAAATGCTCGCGAGGCTATCAAAAGTTAAGCGTGCATCACCTAAAGCAGAAGTTAACTTCATCTTTCGATCTTCATGAGTCTTATCAGACCATGCTATTTGGCTAAAATGTTTTGAAAAGTTGAAATGAATAGATATAAACAATTGTTGATGCAGTGTTTTCCTTTGCCATAAGAAGTCTGAATCATTATGCTTGTTCTTGAATGATCAATGAAATGAGACTTTTGGTTGTTTATTTCAAAGTTATGTTGTGTGTTAACTCCTCTGCTTTATCAATTCCCTTTGGCAATACTGAAGCATTTTCTCCACAATTTTGTCCACTACTACCACTGCTATATCTGCAACTTTTCTTAATTATTTAATATGCTACAAAATCATTATTGATTTGATATCTTAGTCTCATATTTCTAATGGAGTTTATCCTTTTTTTCATGCCAAAATATATTGATATGAGCCCAAACCCATTCAACCTGTTCAATTTGCTCAAGATTTTGCATGTCATTGATTTATCCATCTTGACTCAGCCTATTTCACCCCTTCTAAAGTTGGGTTGATTGTTTGCCCAGTTAATTCTTGAGTAACTTTGCTAAAATATCTTTAAAATAATTCTTTTTTGTTTGATATGTTATATATAATCTATAAACAAAAGAAAAAAAGGTCTTGTTTGGTAATTAAACAATTCATAAGAAAACTACATGCATTAATTAAAGTTTGGTAAGAGTTAGGCTGGTTGGGCTATGACTCAAATGTTAGCCCACTTGACCCAATCCATCGCAGCTCAAGTAATTCTTGGGCAGGTCATTGATTCGACCATTTTGATTGAGATTTTAACCCGTCCAAAATTAACCCAACCCGCCTACTTGACAGCCCTAATTTCAAAGTTAGGTCGCAGATTGTGGTGCTTTAATTATCCACTTGGAGGTCGTTTGGTAGCTGGTTAGAAGAAAGGTTATTCATGTATAAGGGGTAACATAACTTATACCATGTTTGGTAGGCAATAGTTATTTTGTATAAAATTCTGCATAACTAATACCATGTTTGGTTGACATTTTTCAATTATGCATAAATAATACATGTATAAGTTATGAGTCAATCTGTGTATTATTTTATGCGGGGTAGAAGATGGAATAAACTAATACATGTATTAGTAATACATGGATAAAATACTGAAATGACAAATTTACCCCGATCACTTTACACATAAGGCTTCCTTATTTCTCTGCCAACCCGTCAACAGGTTTCACTTGCTTTCACTTGCCAACTATATACCCTGTCTTCTCTCATTTTTAAAGAACAAACTAGCAAAAGCAAACTGGAGAAGCAACTAGAAAATGGAAATACCCAAACTAAGAAGTGAAAATCAAATATGTCTAAACTTCACATAGTTCAGTAGTATGACGAAGAAGTGAAAGTAACACCCAAAGTTCCTAACTTAAATTGTTTCCTACATAAATGGAAAGAGAGAAAAAACAATGCAAAAGAAGGCCAGGGGTATAGTTGTAAACAAGCATTTTACTTTAAAATTTATATAACGTATATCAATTTCTAATACAACGAACCAAACATTCAAAAAAATAATCTCTGCATAACTAATACCTGCATTACTAATCCCTGCATAACTAATACATGTATAACTAATACCTGCATAACTCTAACCGGCAACCAAACGACCCCTCGGTGTTTCAAACCCCAGTTGACCTCTTTCGTTTTTATAGATGCTTCGAATGAAGCACTTATTTAGAGAATAATATATTTAATGCAGTGTGATTAGATAAGTGAAGCGTGGCAACAATTAATTTTTTTTCCAAGCTTTAAGATAAAAAAGACCGCAATAATAATAATAATAATAATAATAATAATAATAATAATAATAATAATTGCCATTGCCATTCTCGTAATTTTTTTCTCTCGCTAACCGTGGTACTTTCGCGCATAATTATTTAACCATCTTTTTTTATTTGTTGGTCTAATGGTGGTTCACCTCAAAATTAAATACATACTTATCTGTGTCTCAAAGGAAAAAAAACTAACTCCTTTATTGAATGTTGCAACCCACAAATAAGGGGAAATAACTAAGTGCATATATGGGATCTCTCTAACTATGGCTTAAGTAGGATCAAGTTTGTAATTCTAGTTTTGGCATAATCTGGAAATATTCTTAGACCAAACTTGAGCAAAAAGACATGATATTCAGTAAACATGTAACAGCGGTTAAATCAAAATATGTCCCTAAAGTTACCAAAATAGAAAATATTAGCCACTAGTTACCATAAAAAGGTGAAAACCACCAGAAAAGTTAATCTAAAGAAATATCAAAACCGCTTCCAAAAGTTTTAGGATTAAAATTGTCATCAATGCAAAGATTTAAATCCAGTGCTAAACATTAAGATTAATTGGTCTCAAAGAAAAAAACCTGAGGAGTTGTATCTCCTATGAGGGAGTGGATAATACGAATAAGGTTTGACGACAAGACGTGAAGGTATCAGAAAAGTAAATACCTGCCAGTCGTTAGCAAGGCTCTGTTTTAAAAGGCAGAATAGGGACTCGCCTCGGGCGGAGCACTCGTAAAACGCCCCTGGGCTTATGTGTGAGGCTTAGTTCCGTGAGACTTACGTCTCGGCCATCGAGGTGTACGCTCCGGACACGCCCAACGCCCAACGTACTGGGCTCGCATAATAGAACTTTATGCAATTCTATGTAACTAACCTTGTAAATTCTCAAATTTGCTTAATAAATCATTGACTATTCATACTTTTTTCTTAATCATAAATCATTAAGTTGAGAGTATTTTATGTCATTAAAATAAATATTATTGCACGTTATCCACTAAGACTGATAGTTAATTTTAAATAAATCTTTCATTTAAAAGGTAGTATTTATTTATTAACTTTTGTTATGTCTTTACTATATAATAGTCCATAATTTTTTATAATTATTTTTTAAAATATTTTTTTTCACGTTTACGAGATACAATACTTATTAATTAATAGGTCAGTATTAGTAGAAACTATTTACAAAAAATTAGTTATCATGGTATTGTATGGTAAATTTTGTGCACTTTATTAACTTGTTGAAACTTAAAAATAAATGATGCTAGAGAATCATATTTAAATTATGAAATATGTTTTTACATAGATTCTCTTTCAAATAGAAAGCATATTAAATAAAATGAGTATTTTAAGAAAAATATCAAATTATAACATCGAAATTCTTTCAAGATTCATTACTCCTTAAGAGATACATACTATAAGATTTCGTATCGAATATATTACTTTTGATGTTTGAGTTGTAACGACGTTGCAACTAATTCGCATATTATGATATATGTCATACTTTTCGTATTATTCATAGTTGAATTATAATTTATAAATATTTTAAATAGATTATTTGTTATAACTTTGTTATTTTAATGTAATTTTATAATTATCTTTTATTTTATACTATCTTAAAAAATTTTGATATCAGTAAAATTTAAAGATCTGTGAGACTTACGCCCCATGTATCAGGGCTTATGCCTGACCTCGTTAGAGGTAAAATGCCTCGCCTCACGCCCAGCCTTTTAAAACAATGATAAAGGGCATATTTGAGCTCCTCTGCTAATAACATAGGCTTATTTGACCTCAATTATGAACAAGGATAAAATTTTGTTATTTTGCATAGTCTAGGGGAAATTTTTAAATCTATTTTCGAGTTTTATCATTTCGCATAATCCAGTGGCAAATTTAAATCTTTTTTTTCTTTAAATTTAAAAGCTTCCTCAAGCCATCGTGGAACACCTTTAGAGGTCGTTTGGTAGGGTGTATAAGAATAGTACTGGATAGAGTATATTATAGCCGGTTTGGCCAAACTTTTTTTGGACCAAAAGTGTTTTTTGGCCAAAAGCACTTTGGCGAAAATTGAGGTGTAGAAGTAGTTTTTGAGAAGCAGAAAAAAGTAGCTTCTATCCAAAAACACTTTTCTGATAAGCACTTTTGAGAAAAATACACTTAGAAGTAATTTTCAAAAGCTTGGCAAACACTAATTATTGCTCAAAATTGCTTTTCAAATTAATTAGCCAAACACAAACTGTTCCTCACCAAAAGCAGTTTTTTAAAAAGTACTTTTGAAGAAAGCACTTCTCAAAATAAGCTGATTTTAGAAGCTTGGCCAAACATGCTATTAATAATGTTGGGATTATTTTGTATCCATTGTTTGATTTGGTGCATCAAAAATAACATGTATTTCATAGGGGTGGATACATGATTATCCATGTATTAAAAATCATGATATTATTAAGGGAAATGGTCCAAATTTACTCTTGTACTATGATAAATAGTTTACATCTATCCTCCGTTATACTTTTCCTCCAAATTTAACATTACCGTTAACAAAGTAAGGGGTTCTTAAGGTATAAATGCAGAATAATAGTTAAGTGCAAGAAAAATCAAGCCACCGCTACCCACCAACAATCTCAATGGTAATAATAATGCTAATGTTTATGGTTTTGTTGTTACCACTAATGGGTCTTCTTCTGCTTTTTAAATCTTCGAATTGGTGGAGATAAAATAAGGCTTTCCCACCTTCTCCTCCCTTTCCTCATCCCTCTTTCCCACCATCCCCTCTACAATGTGCTGCCACCATGCCCTAAATATACCCGACCCGAAACGATTCGCTATGATTATTGAAGAGGAGAACAAAGATGATTTGGACACTGAAGCATTCATAATTTATGGCATCGTGGCAGTAAAAGTAGCGGCGGTAGCAGTAGCGTTGGTGGCAATGGCAGCTAAGTACGGTGGCAATAGCGTTGGCGGCAATAGTAGCTACGGTGGTGATGGTGAAATTAGCGCCAGCGGCAGCCATAATTACACTATCCAAAATAAAAGCAAAAACAATTGATTAATTAAAAAATAATTGAATAACTTACTTGGCACTTTAAGTGAGTGATCCCATGTGCCACAGTGGATATCCGTTAGGTTAGGGGTGATTCTGTTTACTTTATTAATGGTAAGGTTAAATTTGGACGAAAAGTATAACGGATGATAAATGTAAACTATTTATCATAGTACAAGAATAAATTTGGACCTTTTCCCTATTATTAATGACATGGTTTGTGATATATTAGTTATACATACGATAATACCAAACGGGATGTATAACTAATACATACTAATTATATATATGTTGAAAAATACTACTATCAATAAAAAATTAATAATACCTAAGCTGATATATCTTACCAAACGACCCCTTAGGGGCATAGGCAAATTAGAAGAAGGATTTTTATTGGGCAATAGGTTAATAGAGGGTATTTGTAAGAGAAATCGAATACAATAATAAGGGCATTACTGCAAATTATCCGTTTTTCAAGTATGGTGTCGCCTTTTGGTTTTCACCATTAAACTGTGAACTATAAATTGCTTCTCTCTTCAGTTTCTTCCAAACACTTGCCAATTTGAGAAGTGAATACTTCACAATTCATCCTCATCAGGTTCATATCTTCCTCTCTCTATTTATCTTTTTAAATTATTATTGTTTTCTTCATTGTTAGCACAGAACTATGTGTTTATATGGTTCTGGGGTTCTGTAGAATTTTGAAACGAAGATTGTATTTTTATGTTTTGGGTATAATTTTGTCAGCTGAAACTGACTAGGGTTGTGCTTAAAACTTGATGGGGGTTAACGTTAACATGGATGTAGCATATTGGTAGACGTTTGCTTTGCATTATTTTCTAAGCTGTGTCAGTTTACTCTATATATACACATTCGTTTATAGAAAAATACTACATATACTTGGTCATAGTTTTGATACTATTTTTTTTTGGCTTCTGTTGCTGTGACCGATCTATTGTCTATTGTTTATTTTCTTCTTCTTGAGCCGAGGGTCTTTCGGAAACATCGTCTCTATCTCTCTGGGTTAGTGGTAAGGTCTGCATATACTCTACCCTCCCCAGACCCCACTTGTGGGATTCTACTGGGTCGTTATTGTTGTTGTTGTACTTGGTAAAAGTTTTCCGACTAAGTGGTGTCGGATGACACCCAGAGATGGACCCAGGATTTGAAGGTGGCGAGAGCACACGAGCGAACTGTTCAACTAGTGCCCTCATTACACTTTTGATCTTAAAGGTTCCAAGTAAAATATATGACCGTTTTCAACGTATAAACACTTATATATTTAGAATTTTTGCCGAAATTAACGGGTCCGATGACCCTCTTCTCCAAGCATAGGTCCGCCTCTGAAGACACCCCTTCTAGGCAGTGCAAGGACCAAGTAGGTTTCTAGAAAACAATATGTATACATACAATAAGTTGACACCGTTTAAAGAATAATGCAAAGTTTACATCAATTTGGAACAAGAACACACAGCCCCGGACCAAAAGATGTATATACGAGCCAAATTGTGACAATAGGCTGACAACTACTTAAAGAAATCCAATGGACGCTACTGTTTGGTAACAGTTTTTAAAGTTGTGATAACTGAAACAACATTTAGGTGTTGAAGGAAGTATCAAGTGATACCTATTGATATATAATGCTACAATAGGAAATTACTTTTTTGTATCGGTAAGGACTCCTTTGTCAGTAAAAAACTAGATTTACGATTGGAATTATGCATTTTTGTTAGGGAGATTAGTAAATCAAATCAAGTGGCGAGTAGGGGATCATAGAAATCAATCGCCTCTCAGTGTTATCAAAGGCGAAAAGCACAAAAAAGCTCTAACATCTGTTAGGGCTTTAAGTGCAAAGCGCGAATAAAGCATGGGCTTCAATGGAGAGAAAAAAGAACATGTATGTGTAGTCCAAGAGTAATAATTATAAGCATGAATAACAAATATACGGACAACAAAATTGAATAAGAATACGATAAAGTGAAATATCAATTGTTTAGTTATCGCCTCTGTTATGCTCATTGGCAAGGAAAAGTATGTCTTAGAACCTTGACGACGACACTTAAGCGCCCGCTAAGTGAGGCAAACCGCTCAACATGTTTCGTGCCTCGGTTCAGGGCTTAAGCATGCTTTAAGTTTGCCTTTGATAACACTGTTGCCATAAGTTGTTTTGCTGTTGATGTATGCCACGATTATTCAGCTTCTGTGGTGTTTAGAGTCTTTACACGTACCAAGTCAACTCATGATTTTGTACATTGTAGTGATAAATTACTTAGATGAATTAGACCGTACAATTTTGTAGTGAAGATACTAGTACAAAATTTTTTAAAATAAAACAGAAAGTTAGTAAAGCTACTATAGTTTGATCGCAAATCTAGCCGAGTTGGACAATGTTTTTCTCCTTATCTTATAGCTATTGATTTCAGTTGATAATCTTATTACATATTAACTGCAGAAGATAATGTGATCCTTATTTATGTTCGTTTGGTTTTCCCTTTTTGAATAATAGATCTCAATAATATTCTGGATGCATGAAACCTAAGGTATTCTGGATGCATGAAATCTTTATAAGGTATTCTGGATGCATGAAATCTTTATAAGGTATTCTGGATGCATGAAGTGTTGATGGGATTCTTGCTGTAAATAATGCAATTCATGGATATTAAGAGGGGAGAGATGAGTGATTTAATATATTGCGCCTTTTCTTTAATTCTTATCTTACAGTTCCTTACCTATTGTATACTTGTTTATTTTCTGCAGATTCTTGTTGCAATCATTTAATATGATGCCTCCTCATGGAAAAAGGCAACATTTACCTCCTCTCAAGGTGTTTAGCGACCTTCCCGATAGTGTAATTGATGACATTCTAATGAGGTTGCCGTTACGAGATGCTGTGAGGACAAGTATCTTATCAAAGAAATGGAGGTATAACTGGTGCAGACTCCCACAGTTGACGGTTGATGAAACACTTTGGCAAACAACAAAAGACTTAATATCTCCGACAATTAAATTTACAAACATTATTTATCACCTTTTGGCCCTTCATACAGGACCAATTTGTAAGTTTATCCTCTCCATTTCTGATCGTGTCAACTGTCCTAAGATTGACAACTTGATATGTTTCCTCTCTAGGAATGGTATTCAGCATCTTGTTCTTCAACTTCCGTTCAGGGGTAATCTATACAAATTGCCTTCTTCATTTTTCACTTGTTCGCAATTGAGGCATCTGGTTCTCCGACAATGTTTAATACGTTCTTCACCACTCTTTAAGGGTTTTGATAGGTTAATTAGCCTAGAACTAGGTGGAGTTACAATTTCTTCTGAATTTCTTGGAAGTTTAATCTCCAAGTGCCCGTTGCTTGAGAATTTGGTGCTGAAACACGTAGATACATCAAACCCCACGGAAATTAGTGCCCTCAAGCTGAGGTCATTTGTCTTCATTGGCAATATACATTTAATAGATCTAAAAATTGTCCCTCTTCTTTCCAAAATTACATATGAGCCTACAGAATTTTCTGTAGAGGCAGGATACAATCTTGCCAAGATTTTTGAGTCTATTCCTGCTCTCGAGCATCTCAGCTGGAGTAACTACAATTTCCAGGTAAATGTTGCTTCATGACTTAATTGTAATGCATTTTCATAGATGTACCGTCTTTTGGTCTTTGAGTCATCCTGATTTCCAACATTTTCTTCCTAGGTCGACGATGCTGGACCAGCTGAAGTTATACCAACAAGGCTTCCCTCTGCTCTTAACAGTCTTAAACGCCTTTACCTATCTTGGATTACTCTGGGAGAATTTTTTGAGTTTTCGTTTGCTCTTTGCTTGATAAGAAGCTCCCCATATATAGAAGAAATTGAAATTGAGGTTGTTAATGATGTTTATTTTCCTCTCTTTCTCTTTTATATGTGTTTTTCTTATGTAATGACTTCCTTATTTGGCATGCTCATTAGATCTTCAATTTTAAATTCAGGCTGACGAGTTTTTCTTGATTTTTCTTAGGGGTGTGTTGATGTTGATGGGGAGTATTATGAACCTGTGCCCCGGGACGCTGTTGATGAGATTCCTGCAAGCTTCTCGGATATGACATTTTACCACCTGAGGACAGTTAAGATTAAGAGTTTAGCAGGAGCAGACGCTGAAATGCAGCTTATCAAGGTTTTATTAGCAAAGTCTCCGATGCTGGTGAGAATGGTAATCGAGCCCTATGAATTAGAAGAATCTCTCAAAGCGGAGATAACGAAATTTCAGCGGGCGTCATCTAAAGCAGAAATTGTGTATAGTGTAGATTAGTATTCATATCACAATCCTGCTTGACCTTCTCGAGTCTTTTAATCAGAGGATGATCTTTGGCTAAATCTTTGGAAGTTCAATATGTAATACGAATGTCGATGCAGTAGTAAGGCTGTGTTTTTCCTTTGCCATATGGTACTGTGAGGACTATCAGTTTGGGAACATAAGCAAATCTGGATGGACGCTAAGTGAGAAATGGTTTTCACATGTCATGCCTGTGCCTGAAATATCTATGAAATGAGACTTTGGCTGTTGTGTGCCTGATTCATAGTTGTGTGTTAAGTTGTATAGGTCAAGGGTTCGAGTCGTGGTATCAATTATTGATGCTTGCATGAGGGTAGGCTGCATACATTACACCCCTGGGACGTGGCCCTTCCTTGAACCATGCGTGAATCCGGATGCGTTTTGCATCAGGCTGCCCTTTTTTATGTTGTGTATTTTCTGCTTATCAATTCCCATTGGCATTATTGAAGCATTTTCTCCACAATTTTAGTGGTTGTTCAGTAGTTATCATTGCTACATATGCAACTTTTCCTAATTATTCAGTATGTTACAAAATCATTATCATTTACTGTAATATTTTAATCTCATATTTCTGATGGAGCCTCTATTTCATGCCAAAATGTGCTATTACATGTAACTGATCTTCTAATATATTCATTGTGGTATTCGAGTTCATTTTGTATTTGTGTTTCAATCGAAAAGTGAATTGTTGTATTTACTTTTTAGTCGTATGTCTGTTTGACATTCCGGTGCACTAAACTCCCGCTATACGCGAGGTCCGGAGAAACCCCGACCACAGGAAAATATGTGTGTCTGTTTGACATCATAGGCACATAATCTTTTACCCACCCATCTTATTTTTTTCTCAATCATTTAATAAATAATGGTTCATCTAGATTGTGATTTCTCAGTTTCAAATTAAAATGGTTAGATAGATTGTTGTTGTTTTACTACTTGTATAATACTCCATCTGTTCCATTAGAAAAGTAAATTCCACTTAAACCACTTAATTGGAAAACAATACTCCCTTCACCTTTGAAATGGGAAAGATAATACCCTTGAACGACACTTTTCGATGAAATTATGGTGCAATATTTATAAGCTGAAATTGAATTTCAACAATATTATTCGTACAAGCTCAAGGTTACATTTCCACATCCAGAAAAATTCTCACTCAAAACATTAAAAGGACAAAAAGGAAAAAAGAAAGAAACTCAGCCTAAGGTCAGTTGCTCTTAAATCTATACCTGTACAGTCACAAAATATCCCATTCCTTTTTTCCAGCTTCCAATATGATCATATTCACAAGCTCAATCGAACCCTACCGTAGACAAAAGCCTGGTATTAAGTGGAGAGTAGAGGGTCGGGCCATTATCCACCGAGTTTTGAACCATGCGCTACTGGCCATCGAGGATTTCTCGGTTATCAAAAAATAAAAATACACAAGCTCAATATCAGCTAATTGATTGTCCTTCTCTCTATATCACCTTGGCCCTGATAGTTCCATTGCTTGAACAAGCAATGAAGAATCATCAGTAAGATCAGAATATCTTTCTGAAGAGGAGAACTCATTGGCTCTACATCTGGTTGATTCTGCCTTTTGAGATGCTTCCCATTTCTCAGCAAGTCCATCTCCTTCTAGCATTCTTACCACTTCTGACATTTTTGGTCTTTGACTTGGGTGATATTGAGTGCATATTAAAGCTACTTGTACCATTTCCTCGACCTCGATCCGATCATAGTTGTCCTTTAAGTCCTTGTTCACCAGCAAGTCAAGCTTTTTCTCTTGATGAATCTTCTTTACCTGCAACAATATGCAAATTGATATTATGCAAATTCATATGCACATTGAATTGTCAACCTAACAAGAATCAAGATACTGGCTCGTTCACATTGCCCACGACGATGATATGATATGCTAACAACTTATATTGTTGAATCAATGAATAATATATTGAGACGAGCAAGGGAGTTGCCACTGTTGACAATGAAAGATTTCATGCAAGAAAAATTGCAAACCTCCTTTCCGTTTTATGCGTCTTAGCCTGATCGGGCACAAAGTTTAAGAATTTAAATAAACTGTTTGAATCTTGTGAACTTAAAGGGAAGGTGAGTATAGCATATCGAAAATACGCTTTGAATCTTATGGTCTGAAACATGTCATGTTATTCATATAAGGGAGTTTCATTAAAGGTAAAATGCAAACGTTGAAATTTAAAACTTACTAAATATAGAAAGGTCGGAGACATTCTTTTCGCAACAAACTAAAAGGGAAAGTAAGACACATAAATTTAAACGGAACGTTTCATCACATCATGGAATGTGTTATACTTACCCAATCGAGCATAGCACCTTTCTGATTGGCCGCTTTACCAAATTCAAGAGCTCTTTGGCCAGATATCAACTCTAGAAGGAGAATCCCAAACCCGAAAACATCTGTTTTATCAGAGGACTGTCCTGTAGAGAGATACTCAGGAGCTATATGTCCTACAGTTCCCCTAACTGCAGTTGTGACATGAGAATCGCGATGATCCAATAGCTTTGCCAATCCAAAATCTCCCACAACAGCCTCACAGTAATCGTCGAGCAATATGTTTGCAGCCTTCACATCCCTGTGAATAATCTTGGGATCACACTGCTCATGTAGATATAACAAACCCCTCGCCGCTCCCAACGCAATTCTTTTTCTTGTACTCCAGTCCAAAGGTGGTTTGGCTGCAAGAAACAACAGTTAAAACAACATTCTTTAAGGACAAGAATATAGAAACCAATGGCTTCATCAATTATCCATGAATTTAAGTTTTATACGCTTAGGGTGAAATTTTTCACAATCAGGTCATTTGTAAGGTAAATTTTTATGATGACGGGCCTTGTCCTCCAGAAGGGGGGGCTGCAGTTCGGGAATCATAGGCTTCTCCGCTTCGGAGAGAGGTATAGGTCGCGGGCCTACTCCTTCTCTCGGGTCCGGGGCCGGTTCCGCCTCCGGCTGAGGAGGAAAATTCAAATTGATAGGCGGTCGCTCCGAAGAGCTTGATGGGCCGGAAGCTTCAGACGAAAACATCATACTATTACGGACCCCGCTCGATCTCCAAATAAAGAATCCCAAGTAGAATGAGACTTGCGCCCCCCTCCCATCCAGTCGCCCTACTACAAAATAAGGCAAGGGATCGACCCCCATAGAGAATTGGTCACCTTGTAAAAATGTTAAGTAACTTGATACACAGGTTAAACTACATTTATAGCATAAAAAATCTTTGCACTATCGGTGTATATGACTCGATTTCAAAACTTTTAGATTTTCGAGGGCATTTTTACCTTTAAGGCGCGAAGCAACGCTTCCATTAGACATGTAAGGGTAAACAAGAAGCCTTTCAGTTGGTGTCATGCAAAATCCATACAGACGGAGGAGATTTCGGTGCACTGCCAAGCTGATCAACTCGACTTCAGTTTGGAATTGCCTGTCTCCTCCAATTGCATTTCCATCTTTGAGCCTTTTCACTGCAACAATTGTTCCATCATGAAGACAACCTTTGTATACATTCCCGAAACCACCTTTTCCCAGAATGTTCTTGTTGCTGAAGTTGTGTGTAGCAGCTTGAAGTTCCCTAAATTGAAACCTCCTCAAGTTTCCCAAGCACACTTGCTCATGATGTTGTTCTGAAATTATGAACAATTTTGTCAGCAAAAATGATTTCTTGTTTTAAGCAACACATTTTAGTACCTTGTACTTGTTTTTAGCCTATGGTGCTCAAATACAGGTGAAAGTGTGCGACATGCCTAGAGGTCTGATTCTTCATCACATAAATTTTAAGATTCGGGGTATAAATAGGCACATTTTTTGTTGAAACAATTATTGCATAACTATGAATTGATTTTTTATTTTTAACTAATTTAAGCATTCATGGTTTACTAGTTACTACTCAACGTCATTGACGAATGATATGACGGCATGCATTTTTGGAGGATCCGACACAGGTACGACAATAGTTTTTGGAGGATCCAAGCAACAAATTTTTGCTATATCATACTCACCATTAGTATCAAAGAAAATTTGCTTGTTGTGCTTTTGTCTCCACCACAAAAAGAAACCAAACCCAATAATTAGTAAGCAGATACATCCAAGACTTGTCCCAAAGGCTAAGGCAACTTTGTGACTTTTAGGTCTTCCAAAAGGCTGAGCATCTGACATATAACAACAGATTTTTCAGTTAAGAATAAGACAATACAAATTTACATGCTTTCATCACCTGAAAATTACCACTAAAACAAATTTATGTCTAGTAAAATACAAAAGGGCAGTCCAGTGCACTAAGCTCCCGCTATGCGTGGGGTCCGGGGAAGAGCCGGACCACAAGGGTGTATTGTACACAGCCTTACCTTGCACTTCTGCAAGAGGTTGTTTCCACGGCTCAAACCCGTGACCTCCTGGTCACATGGCAGCAACTTTACCAGTTACGCCAAGGCTCACCTTCGCCTAGTAAAATACAATAGTAACAATATTGAAAACCAGAAATAGAAAGAAAATGGTTTAAAATTCTTACTTTGTGAGTTGTTCAAAGTGATTAAGGGCAGAGGCATGGATGTTGTTCCATTGCATTCTAGTTCTTTCCCAGTTGCACATATAATAGGATTTCCCATAATGCTGTACCAACGATAAAACAAAGAAAACCAATAAATAGGTAAAATATTCTGATTCCTTTGTCTGATTTAAGCTGGAATTCAAAGAAATTTTCAAGAAACTTACTTGAATGTTTTAGCCAGAAGTCTTGGTACAGGACCACTCAGATTGTTAAAAGACAAGTCTCTACACAAACCAATAACAACCCCATCAAAATATACTCAAGAAAATAGCAAACAAATATGAAAAAATAAGCTCAGATAAAAGAGGCTAAAGAAAATTACAGTAAAGTCAGCTGAGTCATATTGGACAGCTCCAAAGGAACAGCTCCACTAAGACTATTGTTGTTTAGTCTCCTAAAAGAATTCAAAAAACATAATCATTAGCTTTTAGTTCAAGAACTCATTTACAATAACAATAACATATCCAGTGAAATCCCACGAGTGAAGTATTCAACAACAACCCAGCGGAATCACACAAGTAGGGTCTGAGGAAGGTAGTGTGTACGCAGACCTTACCCCTACCTATGAAGGTAAAGAGGTTATTTCCGAAGGACCCTCGGCTCAAGAACATTAAAATGGAGCACGAGTGAAGTATATGGAGGGTAATGTATACGCAACCTTAACCCTACCTTTGTGAAGGTAGAGAAGCTATTTCCGATACACACTTGGCTCAAGGCAAGAACTCATTTCTATTTCTAAATCTTGAAAAGATAGAATTTCTTCTTACAAGTATTGGAGGCTTTTCAATTGAGCTAAAGAGGGAGGGATTTGGCCAGTGAACTGATTATCAGAAAGATCAATTGTTTTAAGTTTCTGAAGCATTCCAAGTTCAGTTGGAATTAGTCCTGATATATTATTACTTTGCAGAAGCCTGTAAAATAACAAGAAAAACACAATAATATTAGTATTTACTATTTTCCATATTCTTGAATCAATCATTTAAAAATCTCATCTTTTCAAAATTAAAGTACTTACA